AATCGTTAAACATAAGGAACCAAAACCTATGGCTAGGTAGTATTTGGTTGTAGTAGAGATCTAATGTTGTATAATTTAATTATTATGAAAAAGTAATTTATATTTTGTTACAGATTGTAATTTTTTAAAAATGTAGTTTTCTCATCGATCAATAAGCTACATGTCTCCTCAAAAACCAGAATATTGAATTGAAAATACCAGCAACAAGTGACGAATTCAGCAGAAATAATCATATTTAAAGATGAATGAAATGATGTTTGCCTGAATGTTGAATCGTGCTTTGTGGCAGCTCATGGACTTGCCTTCAGTAATGAGGAAAATGAGAGAAGTGGCAATTATTTCCTCGCCGTCCATTACTGACACTGTGTGTTAGGTATATTGAAATTTTTAACTAAACAATTATTATCCATTTTAGTGTACACAATTAAAATATCAAACAATATGCTGAATTTACTAGCTTATACATAATTATACGGCTCAGAACTACATGCATTTGCATATTTCTTAGGAAGCCACATATTCTAAATCTGATTTAATACAAATTTGTTTCATGATATATAGAATTAAAATACAAAAATGTATGTTCCATATTTTGCTAAATTGATATGATTTTGTATATTTAAAGATTTTTAGCATATTAATGCATATTATGTTTATAATTTAATATAAATCAACAACAAACCCATTTTTTTTACTATACACAGTATGTCAGTATTAATTGTAAATTTGTTGTGAATTAATGCCTTATTTGACATTTTTTCAGTAACGAAAGATTTATATTTACCAATAGCTCGTGGCCTCTATAGAGTTTTGGAGGAAGTACAAATACAATTTGGTACTGTTGATGAAATTGTAGCTAATGTAAAAATAATAGTTAAAAAAGTACCATCACGAATACAAATTTTCAAAAATTATTCACGGGATATCACTTTACCTCAAGATCCAATCATAACCCGTAGGGATACCTGGATAATGGATTAATGTTGTACTTTGTTATTTCAAATATTTTGAATTGTGATATTGTAAATTATAGTTGGATTCCAATGATGGAGCTTGTAGTATCAGTTTCAAAAAAAAATTTTTTTCTAAGTTTATTCCCTTATAAAAATACATATTTTATACAAAAATAAGTGCATATTATGTATATTATATACCCCATATTCACGGTATTTTTAGTGCATACTATGTATAGATATGCAAATATTTCATTATTTTTTTTATATAATAAGGTAACAAATCTAGATAATTAGTAACAAAATCACCCAAATTTTTTAATGAGTATTTTTGTTTGTAGGTGCATTTATAGCTTCTGTATTGACATGCACAGTCATACAATATTGATGTCACCTATGAAGATTGTACAGCAGTACGTGAAGCTGTCTTCTTTAAACCACCACTGATGCACAATAACTTCCATTTAAAGGCAAAAACAGTGAGAGGAGGGCCATCAAATATCATCAAGATAATTTGGTACGATATGGCTACCCATAAATTTTGTAACACAAAGACAGGGTCTTTGACTATGTTGGCCGTTGCTGGTAGGTTTTAAATAAAATATCCAACTCATAAGGTCCTGAAAATTTGACATAAATGATGAATATTTCATTTTACATTAAAATTAATATTTTGTGACATTTCTAGTGTCTACTTAACTACTCATTAATACATTTTTTTTTTGTAATTTTCTAGGGGATCTGAAGTACGTGAATCGCCAAGCCGTATGGTAAAATCTATAACAGCATCAGTGAACAAATGACTACCCTTCAATGGCTACCTCAACAATAGATTTAAAGTACCATTGGCGGTGTGATTAGTAGCTGTCTGGAGTTTCGTTGAACTGGCTGAACTAAAAAATGCCTCTTGCCCGTGCTTGCCATGGTATGATCTAAAAATTAACAGATGGAAGTTTGGACCAGAAATTATAACACACTAATAGAGCTAGTCTAGCTGTATTAAATGATAATTGCGTGGTGTTTTTAAAGTAACTCTTAAGTCTTCTGTCGATAAGTTAGATTTATTTACAATATACTCTTATTGGAAACCATCAATTGTTAGTTAATGTTAGTTAATCCATGTTAGTTAATCGAAAAGATTTAGGAGTTTGTATAATAAATAATTATTTATATGCCATAATTTATATGTTGAAACTAAGTAGATGGTATTAATTGGTTAACATAGGCGTGTCCAGACCTTGTTCGCAGGTCATGCACAGTAGTGGCATATTCAGGGGAAGTAGGTTTCTGCACCCCCACCCCCTAAACAAAATTTGGTTTCGGTTTAAGGATATGACCTTCAAATTTCTTAATAAGCTTTATCATTATTAATTATTATCTAATACTTCAGAATAAAAAACAGTATTCCTTTTATTAGATAAATAAAATAACAATGCAATATAAAATTGTATTTTAAAATATAATTAATGTGTACCTAATACTTTTTACAAATATTTTTATAATCACAAATGGTCTTAATACTTAATATATATTATAATTCTAAACGTCGTTTTGTTGGTATCATCACTTTAAATTCCTCGATAACTTCGTCATAATTAATATTTGTTGTCATCTGTTGTTCTATGAATAGAAACATTAAAGCGTCAAGTCTTTCTTGAGTCATGGTGCTGCGGAGTTTTGTTTTTACAATTGTCAGCTTAGAAAATGCACGTTCGCATGAACAAGTTGTTACCGGAATAGTGGTAAAAAGTACTATTACTTTATAGAAGTGAAGAAAAATACAAGTTCTATTATTTGAATTTAGAAAATCAATCCATTGATGAAGTGTTTTAGAAGTGGTTCCACAAGGGAAGCATTATCAATAATTGTAATAGATATTAAAAGTCCACATGATGAAAATCAAAATATTTAATATGAAATCAGAATCTAAGAAAAAAAGTGTATATTATTATGTACCGCAATTTATAATGAAGTTAGATCAAATTTCGCAGGTCATGCCTGTGCATGACAGGCAAGACCCGTAGACACGCCTATGTTGGTTAAATAGTGCCGGAGTTTTTGATCGCACCTATTAAGTACTGAAAAATGGCGTCTGGTATCCATACGCCATTCTTCAGTACTGCGATCAAAAACTTCTGCACTATTTAAACTTTCAATACCATCAATACTGCCAACCTTAATTTCAACTCCTAAATCTTTTCATGTAAGTAATATATCAACAAATGGTTTGCATCTGTTAATTATTGGGTTTTTATGCTGTTAACTAATATCCTATTTTACATTATTTTAAACTTATAATACATTTCCTAAATTGGTTGTCGAAATAAAAATAATCCCCTTCATAGAAGAAATATGAATCACGGAATAAATCAACAAAATAAAATATTTTGATAAATTCAAATTTTAAATTAACAAATAAACAAAAATATAAACAAAAAATAAACAAATAAATAATTTACTAATATTAATATTTATTTATATACTCAATTCAACACACCTTTAATAAACTCGATTTTTTTTTTTTTTACTTGTAATTAAACTTTAATGTTATTACTTCTTAATACTGTTATAATATGTTTGAAAATGATAATAAAAAATATGTAGAAGTATATTAAATTTTGTCAATGTTTAATTTCAATATAAGTATTGCTTATTTTGTTAATTTTCATCAAGAGGATGTCAGCGCACTATTTGTCTCCTCTCTTTGGCCCACGCTCAACATATACAATAGCATTTACTAGGCGTCGGATGCTAGTTGTGAGTCTAAGCCAAGGGTCAGCAAATTTTAGTTAGGATAAACTTTCAGGGGTGAAATAGGGTATTTAAGTCCTTATATCTCTCTGTGAATTCTCTACTGTTAATATCGAGATTTTCATATGATTTTATAAACGTCTATATTTCTTCTATAGTCTTATTTGTATGTTTTTATATTTTATATAATGTATATTACGTAAATGGGCCTCAAAGTTTTTATAACATAAAAGCTGATCACCACAACTAAAGAGGTTGGTAACCGCTGAACTATTGCTTTTCTATTAACTTTACAGTTTTATTAAAAGGTTTTGGTACTATATAAATTTACTAAAAATTAAATAAACAAGCTTTAAAATTAATTAAATAGTATACGTAATTTACTAAACATATTTATATTTACACTTATGATAATGTAACACACAAAATACTTGTTTTTGATATTTTATAATATGTACCTTAATCTAACAACTAACATCTATATATATATTTTTTTTTTGAATTATTGTTTTATATTGTATTATATTTATATATGTTTTAATTCATTTAAGTCTATAATACTATTATAATCTACAAATCTATTTTGATTTAAAACATAAAATCATTTTGTACGACTAATAAATAAATTATAAACGGAAAGAAAACCACATAAAATACCTATCTAGTTAATAATTTATTTTTGTTTTGTTAAAACTATTTAACAATGACATTTTGTATTTTTCATTAAATTCTACTATTATTTTTTGTATTATTAACTATACTGATGTAAAAAGATTAGATTAGGTTAGGTTATGCAATTTGCAATCATTCTTGAGTGAAGTGGTTGTTCGGTATTAGTTTAGCTTTAGGTGATTAGTCAAGAACTTCAGTAAACTATAATGTAATAAATATAGTAATCATTTGTTTGCACTTTGCATTACATTTACCTACGTTAATTGTTAATTTATACCACTTAATTATGACTAATGATATATTGTTATGCTTAATTGTATTTGATTTTATTATAGTGCGTTTCACAACAACTGCGACTCGACGCTAGCGCGCCTCTGGGTGTTTTTTCATCAGGGTTTCTAAAGCTAGCGCGTAATAATCCGCGCCAAATTTAAAATTGATAACGAATATTTTACACTTTTTCAAATTATACATTTATTAAATAAGATAATCAACGAATCATATTTTATGTTACACTTAATTGTTTTTAAATAACTTAAAACTATAAAAATATGTAAAAAAAATTACATGTATCTATATTACATAATATTTACATATGGTTAGGTTTAGGTATATATATTTTTATTAATAGTCATCATCTTCGCTTTCACTGCTATCTTCTGGATTTATTGTCATGATAATTGGTTCCAAAATTTCGTCACGTAAGCCCTCTTTGACGTAATCATCGTCTTGCAGTTTATTGCAATGTGTCACACACCTCTTCCAGTCGTCAACTGTTACGGAATCCAATGCATCATGAGCCAATTTTTCGACGTCCGCGATTTTAAAGCTTGTATTTTCTTCGGCGATTTTTCCTTTTACTTGCGCCCAAATTAGCTCTATAGGATTATATTGGCAGTGATACGGAGGTAGCCGTATCACCTCATGACCCATTGACAACGCAATCTGATCCAGCTCATATTTTTTTTCTTGTGGTATTAACTGCTTGACTCGCTCTCGTAACTCCGGCAACGTTCCCAAGGGTGAAAACTGAATTCCCTTTTCTTGTAGCCATTTTTGGACATTTATTTTTTTTTCATTACTCTTTGGATAATTATCAACAAGACTAGAGTGGTATGATGCATTGTCCATAATTATGACACATGGCTCTTCCAAATTGTTGAGCATTTGTATGAACCAGTCTTTAAATATAACAGAGTTCATATGGGAGTGATAGTCTTCAGATGGACCCGATTTACAACGAAAGTCAGTTTTTTCTTGGAATTTAGATAAAATTTTTATGGATGTACCTCTTGGACCGTCCGTCGTACAACCTCTTGGTCAAAGTCATCAATATCTGTAGCAAATTTAATTCGTTTGAATGTTTTACGAGGAGAGGTAAATTTCGGTCCTTCAGTTTCTGGATCTAAAAGGGCTTTAGAGCCTTCCGATGTTATTCTTTTAACACTGCCGATGCTGATACCACATGCTTCAGAAGTCTTTTGTTGCGCTTGTAGAAAAAAATTTGCTACTTCAGGATTCGACGAGTCATTAGATATTTTTTTAAAATCCGAATATACACTTAAAACCATTTTTTTAACTTGAGAGTGAATATCTACTGAATGGTAAGACATTTTTAAATAAATAATTAACTATATTTAAAAATATATATAAATCGCACAGACGTAATACGTAAGGAATAGTCAACAACGAACAACAGTACAACAGTACGCACTACACACTGGAGTCTGGATGGCACAATAAATATAGCTGCAACATGGGTTGTTGTTTGACTACATTCCTACGCATGGGGTCGGTAGGGAGTATCAAACCTACTCATACACAATAGCGGTACATAAAATAAACATACCCATAACCCAGCTGCTCTTACCATTTGTTTCGAAAAAACGCACGCTATTTATTTCCTATCCTAGATTGAGAACCCCTGGTTTGAGATAAAACCGCCACGAGTCGCGCTAGCGTCGAGTCGCAGTTGTTGTGAAACGCACTTATAGTTTTTCGTTTATTGATCACCTACTTTTATTATTTGAAAATTGTATATTTTTATAAATAACATTTTGTAGCATCGCATTTAATATTCATATAAGAATTTACTAGTATGCGTGTTTGCAGGATGCAATACCTATTCAAAACGTTTTGGCTTGTATGCAGTTCATTGATGTTTTATATTTTTAACTTTTGGTAGTTATTATATATTATGTGGTAACAATTTTTCTTGTGAGTACAAAATCTTCACATTGTAGTAATAGGTATAAACTATTTGTATAAACAGTATAATATAATCATATTTTTAAGGTAAGCCAGTGAAGCAAATGTGCTAAGGCAGCTAAATTGTAAAATAGAATAGATATAAGGCGAAAAGAATAGTGAGGGCAGTCGTGGTATGTCAATACTGTGTTTGATAATTAATTTTGTGTTTGTTTATATAAGTTAATAAAAAGTGTTTCCGACCCGAAAATTATATGTTTTGTTTGAGTAGCCACACAATTCTAAGTACTCCTTAAATCTGATCTGTAACCGGTTAATTTATGGTCTTTTTTTAATTCTAGTGTCGATAGAGGTATATCACTGAAAAGTGCGTATACGACAATATCATTATACTTAACTGTAGAAAGGTGCAGAAGTGGTTAACGCTATGTTGAACACACCACACAACATAATACATTAAGTATTATTTTAAATATATACATATTATTAAGTGGAGATATATGAACACAGGAGGGGAACTTCGATATACAATACAAATATAGAAAATAAGCACAATCAAGATAATAAAAATATAATACATTGGTTAAGGCATTAAATAATACACATATTTTTGGAATTTATTAATTTAAATTTTTTAATATTAAAAATTGTGTTTGTGAATTTAGTAGGTATATTTTATATATTGGTATTGTTTCTAATATTTTTATAATAAAAAATCTAAAAAGTCTAAAATAGTCTAAAAAACCTTTTACTAAGTTTAATGAACACATTGTACATTTTTAATCTATCATAGACATGACAAATTCAATAATTTAATGCAATCTTTTTTTTTCATTTTGCCTCTTAACTCTTTGAGGGGCCGTGGTTAGTATGCTAACCACTTTTTTTTTACCGTTCAGGTGCTGTGGTTACTATTTTAACCACTTTTAAAATTATTTTTAATATTTTTTTGATGATGGTCAGCATACCAATCACCTTATTATCATCTTATACATGCATCAAACAATATCACTGACGCTGGTCTGATATCATTTCTCGCGTTTTTCATCATTTATTATCATTATAAATATTTTGATATACATACTAAATGTTATGGTAAAGAGACATATTGCCCACATGGGTCTTTTTTCTAAAGGAAATTTTCGCCCCTCAAAGAGTTAATGTGAATTGTGCTTGAGCAACAATGTATTTTATAATATTTTCCATTTCTCTTTGAGAAATTTGTTGAAAATAGGCTTACTTTTCAACTGCATCTAAAAAATAATAATGATGAACTAGTTAGTTATATCATGATTATAACATATTTATGTATTGATAACATTAAATTGTATTATTTTTTTTTAAATGTTAAATTTTTTTTTACATGACTGCAGACTGGTGAAATGATTGAGTATCATTATGTCATCAAAATTGACAAAATTATAGATTATTGAAAAAATTATTGGTTTCAATCGCTAGCAACCTAAGTGGCACATGGTGATCATAAGCATGTGGATACCTATTTGCATATGATTGGATAGTATTAATTGAAGGTTGATATTGAGTTTGAAGTTCAGAACTGTTTGGGTTTTTAGCTTTTTGAATAATTTTTAAAATTAAAATGTCAATATAAACCCTAATTTTTTATCTTTTTAACTTTTTATGAGTGGAACTATTGATAAATCAAATTATATATCAGCATCAACCTTTTGACGGTTATTCAGAATTTGTTGTAGGTTATTCTCAAAAACTGGTTCTTTACACTGGTTTTTTAGGAATCTGACGTACAACGGTACATACGGAGATCTATGCATATAGCCACATAGGTATAAGTAAATATGAGTTTTGTTATTATTAAAAAAAATGTATTTCATATAATACTTAAATCATTTAACATTGAATGTACTGAATATTTAATCGTTGATGGAAAAATTAATTTATTACGAAAAAACCAAAAAATGTATGAAAAATTAGTATAGGTACGAATGCCGCCTAAAATTTTTTTTTAATTTTGCAATTGCCCCCCCCCCTTTATCCCTCTCCTTAAACACGCCCCTAGTAAAAGTGTATAATATGGCAGGACACCGTGATAGGTACCTGTAAAAATAATAATAATAATATTATAATATGTCGGAGAGATCATTTCTCATTCCGATTTGCTACCGTAAAATATTATATTGTTGTCATAATTGTATATCATAGTATCATTATTGTTGTTATTCAATATGACCGGTTACTATAGGGTTTTGACTACCTAGGTCGGGCTAGGTATTAGTGTAATTATGTTTTCAAAATCCTCAGTTGACATGCAAGTATACAATGTTCCGTCTTCATTAATAAATGTTTACTAAGAAGTACAAAATATAAAAATATTAGTATTTATGAACATTTTTAAGTAAACAAAAATAATTGCATTTTTTCAAATTGGTGCATTCCGGGTGGTCAAATTTTGAAATTCTCAATAGTTTTCAAAAGCCCCGAGAAAAACAATATACATAATATACATTTGAATAGGGCTAGGATTTTATAGCATTTGCATTTTCTTTCATAGTACTCCAGGACATAGCTAATCAAAAACAAAATTCGATTCATTCATCACAGAGTTCAAATATGCAATTTTGTTTTTGCTTTTTTTGCTTTTTCTTGTGATATTCGTAAATAAATGCTTTATTGGTACTTTTTTGTCAGTTTATTAGCTTTTTAATTGGTTTTTGTTAATTATACGCATATTTTTTAACATTTACGTACATATTTATCTAAATTATTATTTTTTCATTTATTTTAATTGTATAATTATATATGTTTTGTGAATTCATAGTGAAATATTAACGCCTTATCGGAAAAATTGTTTTCAAAATATTACAAAATATCAAAGAAATTTAAAATATCTTATAGCCTTTTTTAATATTTATATAATAAACAGTTACCTAAAATATAAAAAAACAGTTTTTAATTTTTTTTTTCAATATTTATAAATTGTACTTGTTAAAAATATTTTTCAGCTCAACTTAAAAATGTTTAAGTCTTTTTTAGTTGCATTTTCCTGGTTAAATGCTTTTTTTTTGTAGCATTATTGGCAATTTTTTAATTCCTTTATTGTAGGTTTTTAGTGCTTCATTTTCCTAGCCCTAGTTATGAACAATAAATTACACAATATTAACTACATACTATTTCTAAATTTTAGATTTTATAAGGTCTGTACAATATTTTGCCAGGGGCCTGGGCCCCCGGGGCTATTAAAGTGCTGGTAAACGGAAAAAAAGTCCCCGGAAAAAAGTCTCCCGTCGCATCATAAATAAAACGATACTTTACTTGTTATTTTATTCATAAAATAAATTGTGTTGAAAATCTTATAAAAAAACGAAAGCTAGTAAAAAAATTGAAGTTTGATTAAACATTTTATATCAAAGTTTTGATGAAGACAAATCTGCAGATGTTCCTAACTTTTAGAGCAAATAGGTCAAAATATAAGAAAGAGATCTTTAATATCTGAATAAAATAATTAATACATTTTTATATACACTATTATTTTAAGATGTATTTTTTTAAATTTTTATATTTTTTAAATAGGTACTATTATTAAAAGATATTTTAGATTCTGAGTAAAACGATGAATGAATTGATTTTACAATGATGTGTATGTTTTTAATTTTTTTAATTTTTAATTTTGTTTTTTTGTGTCTGTCATCACTGTTTAGGGCAGTCAAACTCCTTCGATTTTCTTCAACAGTATCTTATTCGATGGGAAAGTGAATCTAGTTGGTGCATTCGGGAGGTCAAATTTAGCTTATGGCTTTCAAAAGCGACGGGAAAAACAATATAAAAATTAAGGAAACACTGGAATTTCTACGAAAAATCGGTTTTCGACCAATTCGATTTTGGTTTTTGGTGTAACTCTAAGACAGATGAACGTATAAACATGAAATTTTCACTGGTTGTTTATATTTGCATTATCTAAACACGATAAAATTTTCAAAATATTTTGATTTATTTTGAACTTTTTAGGAACATTTTCA